TTCCTCTCACAATTTAACTTGGTGTTTGGTGTCCAAGTTTCATTTTTTTGGCCGGCTCTTGCCAAATCGTAGTGGAGCAGTTGGACCGCGGTTGCTAGATGGTACAGGTACATTGCATGTTTGTGCTCTTTCGTCCTGGATGCTGTCATTTTCGAGCCAAATTCTCGAGGTTCAACGGCATCCGGCCAGCCCGTGCACGCCCCTCAAATTTGCAGCACCCCCGCCCGTGAGAGCTTGCTCAGCATCACCCTCGCCTACCCAAACATCAGCGCTTGAGCACGCGTGCGCTGGCCTGCACGTGCGGCCACATGCACTCACAAGCACTCGCGTGCCAATGCACGCCCACGCATGCGCCGTGCACAGCTTGCTGCCATCAAATTGTTCCCACACACGAGCACGCCAAAACCCCACAGAAAGTCCAATGATGAGAAGGGCGAGTCAGTTTTGCCACTAGTTCAGTTCTGATTTACCAAGAGTGCCGCAGAATTCGGGCGCCGGCGCCGTTTTCTGCTTTGCGCCAAGAGCTCAAACAGTTTGTTTGACAAGTAGTGCCTCGAGAAATCTGACATGTGCAAAACGAACTTTTCAGCAGCTGCATCGCTATTTCGTCCCGTAGAGTCCAAGGCAAACTCAAGGCAACACCCAGACACGCGGTGCCCATGGTTTTGTTTGAGGTGGCTTCCCTTTATATACTGGTTGCTAGTAAAGTTGTTTTCCCATGGATGGGGGTCTGGGGACAGATTGAAAGCTCTGCTTGCGCGCTAGGGCCTTTCCTGCCTCCCGTGGTGAGTCTCTAGTTTCGGTGATCTAGCTGCCTGAGGTATGGCTATTTGGCGAAGCAAAGCATTGCCTTCGGATACGCCTGGGCCCCAGTGCAGGCCTTGAGGCGTTTGGCAGCGGCTTCGTGAAAAACTTTATGTGTGTTGCTCAATGTGTGTCTTAGCCTACCGGCCACTTTCCGGATCCTCGGGAACCCATGGTGTTCGAGTTCTCGGGAGCCGGGATGGCGGGTCCGGGACTGGGAAGGTTCCTCAGTGATGGTTGGGTTTTAGGTGGGGATGGTGCCCTTTGCTTTGAGGATTGATTAAAAGGTCCTTTGCATGGGGTGACCATTAAAAAAAACCAACAAACATGCTTTCACCACTAAATGAGAAAAGTTGCCCATGGTCATATTAGGGCCGAACGGAATATTAATCAACATGTTTATTGTTGTTGCTTTCTCTCAGACCTGACCTGAAGCTATGCTACAAGGCGGGCTCGAATATTCAAAGACACGGACAGGAAAGAAGAAGGAACTTCAAGCAACTGGAAACAAACGCCAGAGCAGCCGGCTACACTTTTCATAGCCAACCACGATGGGTGCACTTCAGACGGGGTTAGCTCTTCTGCTCGGCCAGAAACTGGACGCCGCGAATGCTACGCTTATCTTGCCATCCCGCTAGATAAGCCTTTCATTGAGAGAGGCATCAGAGTTTGACAATGCCAACGCGGTGAAGTGATGCTCCTAGGGCTCAGGATGGCTATGAAGCTTCTCTTGATCTTAGGCAACACGGACATGACCGGGCAAACCTTGACCGTTCCTAAGGCATGAGCCAGGAACGCTGAGCCCGCGGGTTGTTTTTGGTTTGGATGGATTTGAAGCACTGGCCCCAGAGGGTAAAATGGGACACCGCCTCCGATTAAGGGGAAGCTGAGTCTTGGTTCTTGAGTTGAGTGAATGGCAGACTTCGAACAGAGAAACACAGTTGCCCAGAGCAAAGCGAGCTGTTGACCTTTGGGTTTTCCTGTGCTCCATATTTAGTCAAGGTCCCAAAAGGTGCTCACCTTATACTTCTTGTCCTCAAGGGGCAACTGAGACTCCTGAGAGCATCGGCTCACTTGCCCAACGCCGACGTTTTGACCTTTAGGTTTCCCTTTTTCGGTCCATTTTTAGTCATGGGCCCCCAAGGTTACCCTTTCAACTTTTGGGTGTTCAGGGCTGAGAGCATCAGCTCACCTGAGAGCGTTTTTTTCTTTCTTTCTTTTTCCGCTTGAGGTGTCCGCTGAAGCCTTGGACTCCAACGCGGCGCTCGCGGTGGAGGCCTGCGAGTCCAGGAGGATCGAAACGGCGGGTGGATGAAACCTGGCTGGTGGATGTGGGCGTTTTTTCCTGCCGGAACAAGGATGTCTTGAGCTTCACGTGACCCAACTGATTCATCGGGCAGGTTTTTTCGTAGTTCTTCCGCCCATTTGGAAGCACGGGCCTGCAGCGTGCAGCAATGGTCGCCTCTCTCAGGTGGTTGCTGGCAGGTTGGGAAGCTCTGGGTGGACGGAAAACAACTGCATCAAAGCCCGGAACAAAATCGAGAGATGCCCTCGTTCCCATGGCACTTTGGATCGCTGCCGATGAACCCATCATATTCCACTGCTTCAGTCGGCAAAGCAAACACGACGCCTTCGGCAAAGCCGGCCTCGCACCAACTCGCACAGAGGTGGCTATGACAAACTGGGCGCTGATGAAGCCGGCACCCCCAGCATCCCCAGCACTTCCTTGGCTGTCCTTATTTGGGTCAGTTTTGGGAGAGCAGCAGCTGCAAACCAGCACCATTGGCCTGGCCCGTATTCAACACGCCAGGCACGTGTGGCGTGGTTTGGGTTTCGCATAGTGGAGCGTGAGGTAAATACCACGGGGGTCGCGTGAACTGCGGGTAAACGCTTGTCAAGTGGGGTCATGTACGAAGGCTTTGCCTGGTTTGCCTGGCACTTTGGGAATGGCGGGGGGAGGGTGTGAGCGGGGGGGGTTTGCATCGCCTGGGATACTTGTGAATGTTGCGATGCGCTTGATGTATTGCAATACTGTGTGTCCAATCTCTCAGTCGGGCTAAGCCTCAATGGTGCTTCCAAGGCCGTTCACGAACGCGGGTAGCGCAAAACAACAAGAGTCTTTGCGCCGGAAAGGAACGGGAGCTGGCGAGGCTGGACCTAAGTGGCGCAATCACTGTCGGACTGTTCGCATGTTCCAATCGGGAAGCGCAGGGAATCCATGGGCAAAGGAGATCAAGTTCAGGACTCCGAAGTCGACGGATTCTTTTCAGCACGGTTTTATCGCGCCCAACGCAGGCTGAATGCGAGTTAATGTGTTTTATTGAGTTCTTCTTCCATGTTGGCAGCTTTGCACTGCTCCATTCGCTCGGATTTGGGATTCGTGTGGGATCTTGTAGCCATTTGGTTCGCAGAAGGTGTCTTTGCTGGCATCTCGTCTTCCGCGTTGGCTATGGAGAGGGCTTCATTCTCAACCGTTTCGACCTGGGAGGCTCTGAACATTGAGCTGCCCCGGCTGTAATGAGTAAGTTGTGCTTTGGATTATGCGATTTGTTCTAAGAACTTGTTTGTTTTGCCGGCATCCTTCAAAACCCGAGGCCTCCCAACCTTCACATGATGACCCACAAGCACTTGGCAAAGAAGCTACTCCTCCCCGAGCAACCTCAAGAGAGGTCGCAGAGGCCCGAGGTGTCCAACCTGTCCAACGTGTTGAAGCTTGCGGGGCGGTTCAGCGGATGCAAGAAGTGACCTGCCGGTGTCGTGAAAGTGACTTGAGTCTGCGATCTGCGATGTTCGGTGGCCAATGCGGTTCGAAGAATGAGAAGTATAAACATGCATGGTTCCTTTTTCTCCGAACATGCAGCCGATTGGCAGCGCTGGACTACTGCAGGTTTGAGGCTAACACGATATTGTCAGTTTGTCTCACCCCGATCCACATCCAGAATGGGGTTGCTTTTATCTTCTTTCCATCGGTTGGCAAACGGACAACTATGTAAAATACAGTGGGATACCGGGGAGAGGGGCATGAGTTCCAGTGCGGGGAGCGTGCCGACCTTCTGCTTGACCTTCTGGTTTTCTAGTTCTGGTCTAATTTTGGGCACCAGAAAACAGTAAACCTTTGCGTTTAAGGTCTGGTTGCAAGTTTGTTTTGGTTCAAACGATCATTCCCATTTTGTTTTGCAGCTCCAGAGCGCGATCCTTGGACTCGACCATGTTTCATTGCATATTTGTAAAGGACCCATCAGCTGGAGATGCAGAGGAAACTGTCATGCAAAAATCTGACGCCATCGGTGCAAAGGTGTTTGTTGCTAGGATGGCGGCAGACTGTAGTTTGCCGACGTAAAAGCAACAAGGCGCACTCTCTTGCACCGTCAATCAAGTAGTGCACGCGAAACAATTGACAGCAATTGCCCAGATGTCCATCTTCCAAGGTGCTTACATGGCCATCAGGAAAGTCTTTTGGCATGGTCCTGGTGGAGATGTCCGCGCAGTCCCTCGATTTCTCGTCTCGATGTCTCGTTTTACCTTCAAAAGTGGCTTCCATCGCACACCCGCACACACACACACACGAACACAAACTTGAACACGCACACAAACAAAAACACAAACTCAAACACAGACACACTCGGAGACAAACAGACGCGCAGACACGAAAACACAAACACAGAGACACACAGAGACACACAGAGACACAAAAAGACACACACACACACACGCAGACACACAGAGACACACACAGACACACAGAGACACACAGAGACACACAGAGACACACAGAGACACACAGAGACACGCAGAGACACACAGAGACACACAGAGACACAGAAAGACACAGAAACACGCAGACACACAGAGACACACAGAGACACACAGAGACACAAAAAGACACAGAAACACGCAGACACACAGAGACACACAGAGACACACAGAGACACACAGAGACACAGAAAGACAGAAACACGCAGACACACAGAGACACACAGAGACACACAGAGACACAAAAAGACACAGAAATACGCAGAAATACGCAGACACACAGAGACACACAGAGACACACAGAGACACACAGAGACACACAGAGACACACAGAGACACACAGAGACACACAGAGACACACAGAGGCGCACAGAGGCACACAGAGACACACCCACACACAATGAAACATACCGACACACACACACACACACACCGCCATACACACACACACACCGAAACACACCGACACTACACCGAGACACACACACACATAGAGACACACACGCACAGAGACACACAGAGACACACGCAGACACACAGAGACACACACACACACACAGAGGCACACGCAGAGCCCCACACACTCACACACCGAGACACACACAGAAACACAGAGCGACACACACACACACACACAGAGACACACACGCACAGACACACGCACACAGAGACACACTCACAGAGACACACACACACACACGCAGAGACGGGCAAAGACACACACACACAGAGACGTGCAGAGTGAAACACACATGGACACAAACAGAGACACACGCACACACACACGCACGGGCACACACACACACACTGACACAAACCGACACACCCCGACACGCACAGAGACATACCGGCACACACTGACACACACGCACACACCGAGACACACCGAGACTACACCGAGACGCACACGGAGAACACACACACACAGAGACACTCACAGAGACACACAGAGATGAACAGAGACACACACACAGACACTCAGAGACACACAGAGACACACAGAGGCGCACATAGAGATACACGCGCAGACACACACAAAGACACACACACACACACAGAGGCACACAGCGACCCACACACACACACAGAGACACACACACAGAGACACACAGAGAGACACACACACACAGAGTCACACAGAGACACACAGAGAGACACGCAGAGAGAGAGAGAGAGAGAGAGACACACATACACACAGAGACACCAGCAGAGACACACACACACACAGAGACGCACACAGCGCCACACACACACACAGAGACATGCAGAGACCCGTGCTACGCGTTGCCATTTTGGCAAGCGCTTGGTGTCCTTCTTTCTCGAGCTTCGGCGGACAGACCGGTGGCAGGAGCATATGAACATGAGCAATGGACCAAATACAAGGCAATAACTTGTCCTTCGCGCCAAACATTTAGTAATATCAGTAGCAGGATGCAGATGTTTTGATTGTGAAGCGAGATAGCCCGCACCTAAAGCCGGAGAACGGCAACATGTGATTCACAAGGAGGCTCAAACACAGTTTTTTGGCTTGTCTTTGCCAACACCTAATGTCTGCCAACTGCGGCTGTGAGAGCCTCACATCCGAAACCATTCTAAGTTGAATTTCAGTTGCCAAAACATTGGACCGGTCTCAAGCGAGATGGTCGCAAAACGCATGTTGCCGTGCAATTTGGTCCGCTGCTCATATTTCTTTCTCGTTCTCAGTGTCCCGTCGACGAATAGACGGGTGGCTGTGGACGATTCCCCCTGTCGACTTTTGACATCTTTTGACATCTGCCATACACACTGCTAAGGTGAATCAAGGTGCGACAGGTTTAGTTGTTGCTCCAATCTGGAACTCGTCTGTCAGTGAATTCGTTGGACTAGTACCAGCAGATCTCTAGCAAGGAGGCCTAGAAACTGGCGAATTTGAGAAAACAACAACTCTTTAGCTGATGGACATAGCGGCACTGCCCGGCTCCACTAATCCATTACCCCTAAGCAAGTATTGCAATTCAGCCGTTTGTCCACCACATTGCTGTTGCATCAGGTTTTTCCGATGTAACCAACGGAGCGAACGTTCATGCGCTGAAATTGGGTCGGTAAGCGCCGACACGGCGAAGTCGCATTTCAATTTTGGGTCTGCGGGTCTGCGCACGTTTGCGCTATGACTCCTGCAGTCCATCGTGGGTGAGGATGGCACGTACGACATATATGTGCCATGGTCAAGAGGCTTTGTGACTTAGGCTTCGCAAGGATACTCATTAAGCCTTCGACCATGGCACCTTTCGCATGGCAAACCCTTGGAGGCAAGTAGCCCGTGTCCATTTAACGAAATCGAAAGGTAACTGTACCACTTCAAATCTAAAACACATATCCGGCTCTAGATGGGCGTCTCGCGAAACTCTGGACACGGCAGATGGTTGGTCTCCTTTTGGCTTTCCTTCAAAAGCCATGCGCAATGTGGTTCCCATACCCCATCGGCCCATCAGGGACATGAGACACTGGACATGTGCCACGTGTCGTGGTCGGCCTTGGAGATCATCCGGCATTGCAAAAGAGACTCGCACACTGTTGCCGAAGGGACCAGCTTGATTGGATGAATATCAGCTAAACCGTCCGAAAAATCTCCGAAATCACTGTGACTGGAAGCCACATATAAGCCCAAATGCTTGTAGAATGAGCTTACACCCTAAACCCTAGTAAACCCTCAACCCTAAACCCTAAGCCCCAAACCCGAATTCCCAGAAAGATGATTTCAACCTATTTACAAGAGCCTTGTTAGATGTTGTGCCTGTTTGTGGAAAGAAGCTTGAGAACCTGAGCCGGAAAATCGGGCCATGAGTCCGCATGTCTGAATGTTTCTGGGCCATGCGTGGTGAAGTTCCAGCATGGAGTCATAGTCCCATTGGGCAGTTTCAAGGATAGAGGGATCTGTGGCTTATGAGGGACCTCACTACATCTCGAGTTTATTCAAAGGTCTTGAAGGATGCTTTTATTGGGGCAACCGCATTTGTTTCGTTTGCCTTATTGAAAGAAGGTGCAGTTGAATTCCCCCCGTTTTCCGTGAGGAAGCAATTGGCATGGTGTGTGTCAAAGGAGAACCCCCTACCCAGTGGGTGAAACGCTTCGGTCTTCACATGAATATGGCACCCTCAACTTGAACGGTTTTGATATATGTAGGGACAGATTGAAACAGTTGAAGGATCCCTCCAGGTGGTTTCCTTAGAGTTTCCCTACATCCCCCAACAAACACGTGGGTTTAATCATCACCTTTTGACCCTCAGAGTGAGTTTCCTTTGCATGGGGTTATGTTTTCCGGGAAACTTTTCGGGATCGACCCATGGCTCCCCCGATGCATCGCAAATACGGCCGCCTCGTTTAGCTTCCCACCAAAATGCCCCAAGTTGGTAAATCGGATTTCTACCGCAGCTTGGTGGATCCCCTGGGGTGGCACAAGCTGAAAACTTACACAGATTGAGCTGGCCCCCTACACATAGTGGTCCTTTTGGCTTCCCTTTAACCCAACCCCGAAAAGGGTACCTCAAAGAAGGACACCCCCCATCTATGATCGCGAGGTTCTCTTAGTACCCAACACCACCCCGTTCTAAGTAACTATCTCAGCCTTTGTTCGGAGCTAGGAGCTGCTCGATGCCAGGTTCTCGGACAGAGATGCCCGGTGAAGGTTCAGGAGAAGTGGCGCCTGCCTGTTTTTTGACAGTCTTCCCATGGCGCCTGGAGATTTGGACCCACTTCCACTTGCAATTATTTGGAAAGCTTGGGACCGCTTCAGGTGGTTGGTTTCGTTTGGTTTTCCCTAGAACACCAATGGGGACCTATTCTGAGAAACACCTCTGCGAGTTCTAAAGGAAGCTATCACTGCCGATATTTCAATCCGGTCCATGCAGAGAAAGACCCCCACACAACGTCGGAGTCAGGCCATGCTGTCAGCCCTGTTGGACAAACCAAATTGGATGCACCCGCGGCCAAATCGGCGTTCCCGAGCCACAGGGCCAGGGCCGAGGAGACCCGTCTCAAGAGCAAAGCGCCAAACGCCTCCATTTGCGGATCCCTTGGATGGTATTTAACGGAGAATGAAAAGGGCACGTGGTTTTAGAAACCCCTTTGACACACACACACACACACATGCGTACTCATGTAGGGCTGCTTTTTCTCTGAGGGCACACTTTCCCAGTTGGTGGAAAGGGAAACCAAAAGGACAGCCATCATTTGGGGGGTCCCCTATTTTGAGACATACCCATGTCGGGCAGCTGCTTCTTGCACATGTTTTTTTCCAGTCCAAGCAATTCTTTGCCACAACTGAGTCCTCCATGCCAAGCAAGAAAAGCTTGAAGCGACCGCGTTGTCACTGAACTGGAATTATTTGCGCTCTTTCGGGATCTCGTTCAAATGAGCCAAAGATAGAACTTGTCTTTTTCGTTACTGGTAGGTGCTTTGCGCACCTCTGAAGTCCGCCGTGTTTCTGGAAGATGTTCTAACTCGAAAGCCCGACATGTCCTGCGCGACCACATCTTAAACGCGCTTGCAAATAGTTCAGCGCCCCTCGTGTGTGGTACGCAGACCATGCAAGAGAAAATGGAACCCTTGGTGTCCCTTTTGCAGGAAAATGGTCCAGGATGCTTCTGTGAGGTTGTCATGTTGTGCAGGCGCGAAAAGCCCAAGAAAAGCACTATTGCCACCACCACCGCCATCGGTGCCAACTTTGATGCCGCACCATCCCCCGACAATTGCCAGGGGCTTTCCGGTTGCCAAGCCTGAGGCAGGGGAGATGCTGTTTCCTGGCTGGCTGTTGCTTTTTTGTTCGCTGCAAATGAGCAGAATTGGTTATCTATTTTGCCACACAACAACGAGGAAACGAGCAAACGGGAAAATGGTATCCATGCACTGGCCAGCCCAAGTGTGGCCTTGTGTAATTGGCATAAACTGACTTGGGGTGGTTTTTGCAGGGGGTCAACCACCAATCCAGAAAAATTGTGTTTGACACTACCAATGCGTACAGACAATAGAGGCGGCCGGGAATTTCCTTTAGGTGTGGTGAATTTCCCGTCGCAAGAGGGGGGAGTGGGTGGTTTCAGGCTCCCATTTGCTACCCTGCTTGGGGTCCTTTCCACAGCGCTACCTGGTAGTGTGTTTCTCAAATGGGTGCAAGTGAGCCGACCTGCAGCGTGGCCACCAGACCGGTCTCTTGCATGACATGAAGCGACTTGCCATGGTATTTACGCATTGCATGACGCTGCCGGACCCATTGTGGTGTTCCCTTCAACTAGCATTTCGTTTGAACCCAAACTCTCTTTGTTTCTTGCCCCGGTCAGTGCAGTTCAGGGCATATATTGAATATCTTGTTTTTTGTGCAATGTTGGAGTATAGGGAACCAAAGAGCCAAGTATGGCCAAAATGCCATGCTTTTCTACCGCACAGGTCAAAGTGCAGAAAAAAAAAGGTACGCCGCATTGAGAAACAATCGGAACGTTCTGCCTCCACACCTCCTTGCAAGCGTAGAATGGATCACTTCTTTTCACCGGTTCTTGTAATTCGCCTGCCCTGTTCCAGGGTACTGTTGTTTTGGAAAGCCGTTGCCCCATGGAGGTATTTTCTTATTTTACCAGGTCTGTTTTTTTTTTTTGTTTTAGGTCTGGTGATGGGTTGGTTGGTTGGTTGGTTGGTTGGTTGGTTGGTTGGTTGGTTGGTTGGTTGGCTGGCCGCATCCCCGGCATCACCGGCATCACCGGCATCACCAGCATCACTTGGACCTGGGGTTGCCTCTTGGCTCTGATTGGGTGGCAGTTGGGAGTTGCTGGGGGCTGGTTTAAGTTAGGGGGGCTTGGCTTAGATCTTCATGAGGGTGTCTTGGGGTGGTTTGGGGTTGGTTTAGGCGAACCGAAGGGCTGACATCGCCTGCTGTTGGGCGGGTTTAGGGTTGACTTTGAGTGGGTTTGGGGTGGCTTGGAGCTGATTTGTGTTAGGTGTGCTGCTGGTTTAGCAGCGGCTTTAGAGTTGCTTTAGGGTGTGGTTAAGAGAGTCTTGGTCGAGTTTACCAACCCTAAACTCGACCAAAAGTCTCTTAACCACACCCTAAAGCAACTCTAAAGGCTGCCAAATTTCGTTTCGCCTAAATCAACCCCAAACCACCCCAAGACCCACCCTCATGAAGATCTAGCCAGCAACTCCCAACTAGGCAACCCCAGGTCCAAGTGATGCTGGTGATGCCGGGGATGTTGGCGCTTTGCGGAAAACCGGACCTAGTAAAAAACCGGACCTTTACCGTTGCCCCATGTTTGGGTCTATATACAAGAAGACACGCCTATTGCCCTTCGAGGTCTGTTTCAAAGGCAGACCACCCCCGTTTTCAGCAAGGTGTTGGCCGAGCCGTTCCAATGTAAAAGTCTCGTTGCCAGATGTGGGTGTCTTTTGTTAAGGGGACCCCCCAACAGAAACACAAATGTGGTTTTGCTTTTGATTTCCTGCACCAACAAAGGGGGTACCCTCAAAAAAGACACACCCAACGTTTTGTTCACCTTAAGAAGAAGAGAACTTCTGATTGGGATTACGGAGGCCATGGTTTCTGGTTGTCCACTTAGCCTTTTCAAAGACATTGAAGGTTGGCTAGATTCGGGTAGACTTTAGACATAACCATGAACACCTTGTGCGTTGGAATGAATGGCACATCGACCTTTTATAGGCACCAGTGTTGTATTACGCCAGCTGGCCTAGCATTGCCAGCCCTGTCTTTACCTGAAACCATGCAAATCCCGGTTTTCAGGTATAGAGAACCTCCTCATATGGCCCCTTACTAGAATCAATACCCACATGGCCATGATTTCTTGAGGGAACCACCTCATATGGTCCCTATTTGTTTTTTACTACCCATATTTGTAAATCCTATAAAGTTGAACGTTGACTTCAAGGACACCTCATCACTCCACAGTTTCAAGCCCGCGCCGAAAGCTCGCAGGTCAGTCCCGGAACCTTCGCCCAGGTGGGGTTCCCGAGTCGGGAGTCGGGAGCCGGGAGAGGACCATGAGGGAACGTCTGAACTGCAATCCATCGGCGTCCTTTCAAATTCCTCTCAAGAGAATGTTCCGTCCTAAGTGTAACTCCGATCCCTTTTGAGAGGACAACGTCCTTACAGCGAATCAATCGAATGAGAGCCTCAAGGGCTTGGAGGAAAGCAACACTTTTGAGACCCAAGCGGTCCAATCATCGGCCAGAACCCGGGTCCCAGTTGCTGTTTGTTTGCCGTACTTGGGACTTTATGGGAAAACGCAGGCAGGTGGAAACGTGGTGGAGTCCACCATGAAGTTCTCCACAGCTTTCCTGCGAAGCTTGTGGTAGAAATCACCCATAGCAGCGCCAAATATTGGCCATCATGTGCTGTAAGGGGGGATGACATGGAGCACACTCACCAAAATACCATTAGGAAATGGGGGTGTCTCACCAAGTTCCTATGTCAGGGGACACAACAAATGGGTTTGTTTGAAGATCATCTAGGGCCCCAGGAATGTGGTTTCCTTTTGGTTTTCCTCGAAATCAACAAATTAGAGGGAACCCTCAAGAAAAGACACACCCAAAAGTATTATATATATTGTTTGTGGCTCATATGTTGCAACTCAAAGGGCCAGTTTTGCTCACTTTGGGGAGGTGAGGGAAGGATTTGCAAGGATGATGGCTTGGTGCTTGTACTTACTTGCAGCGTTGCCGCGCGCATTTACCAGATAAACTATCTTCGTAATTTGGTACATTTGCTCGCCCTTTCGCTGGACACCATTGACAGATGAAAAACGTGCCGTCTTCTTGCTTCACATGGTCCGGCCAAAGTTATTGGTTGCAAAGCGTTTTGCATATTGGAATCTGTTCAAGTGAAGGAAGGTTTTTTGATATTGGCTTCGGGTGTCTTGAGAAGTGGGTACTCGGCTCCGGGCAGGCAGCCCGCAATGGATTTTGGACCCCTTGATTGGCAATTAAAGTCGGAGGAAAAGGAGTCCCTTCTCTTTGGACCCCTTCTTGTTGGACTCCTTCTTGTCTTTTGGTTCCTTTGAGTCCGGTCGTGACAAGCTGTAAGCAGCTGCTGGTGCGTAAACGAGGCCTGGATTTCGTCGAAGGGTTTCAATCCGCGCGAATCCACGTAAGGATGCGCAGCCGGCTGCGCGAGAGCTGGCTTTAGGCCCCACTGAGCTTGTTGCTTTCCCGCTTATGTAAAGCGGGAAGCTTAATTTGGTGCTACTTTTGCACACAAGTATTGTGAGGGGGCTGCCAACGCGCAATGCGTGTTTGCAAGTTGCGATGTTTGAGTTGGAGCTGCCATTTGGCATGCATTTTGCATGATGAACTAAGCATGTTCATTCCCAGCGGGAGGTGATCACCCATGAAGCAGCTCCGCAGAATGTCCAAAGTTTTCGCGTTTGTGTAGCCGACCTCTGAAGTTGGCGCAGTCAAACGTCATTTTGCGGCGGTGGAACAGCCAAACGAGTACCGAGTTCAATAGGTCGGCTGAATGTCGCCCTGAAAAACGTCAGGCTCTGAAAGGGTGGTTTTGAGGGATTGATAGCCAGCGCCTCATATGCAGAGGTTCAAAATACTTCGACCCCACCTGCTTTCAGAAGTTCAGAAACTTACAAGAGGTCCAAATACCTTCAGATGTAGTTAAGGCTAGTTAAGGGCTCACAAAGGAATCAACATTCTCAGAGGGTACTTGGACCCGGGACAGTAAACCCTGTTGCAGAGTTCCCTACATTTCCTTTTAACCGCCCATATGCTCTGAATGGGGGGCGTGCTTAATGGGGAAATATGGGTGTGTCTTTTTTGGGACCCCAACCTGGCTTTGGTCGTCCTCTTGGTTTCCCTTCAACAACTCCAACGAACCGGGTACCGAGGCTCGAGCCAAGACTTGAGCCATGCGGCTCGTCCCAAAAGAGGCCCGAGCTTTCTTTTTCTTTTTTTCTGAAGGGATTCCGCTGGTTTTTGCTGGGCGACCCAAAGATGGCAACCCCAAAGAGGAGCCACCCACCCGCCTTGCCGAGCCCCAGGCATCCGCCAGGCTGGGGGAAACGCGCCGCAACGAGTCGACCGAGACGCAAATCGCGCAGGGTTGTTGAATCATTCTGGATTTGGGGATGATTTTGGATCATGTTGGATGAGTTTGGATCATGTTGGATGATTTTGGATCATGTTGGATGAGTTTGAATCATGTTGGATGATTTATGATTTGAGATCATCTTGGATAATCGTGGATCATTTTGGGGTTGTTTTGGGATGTTTTGGGATGATTTGGGATGATTTGGGATGATTGGGATGATTGGGATGATTGGGGCTGATTTGGGGTGACTGGGTGATTTGGGGTGATTCAGTATGATTTAGTGCCATGGGCAATGATGTTGCATGGGATTGGATGATGTTAGCTGATTTGGGATCTGTGCCCCTTTTGGCAATTCGAGCACCCTGTGTGCCACAGCGGTGTTCTGCAGAAATACTCACGCCTCGCCTTGGCAAGCACCTCACATGTCCTGCAACCGTTGGTTAAGCCAAGCTTGTGGTCTTCGGGTTCCCCCTTGTCCATGTTTGGTGGCCCGAAAAGGGGTTGTTCTAGGGGTACCTGCCAATTCCATTCTTGCCAGGGATCCTTCTTTTCAGGAAACCATCAACAACCCAGGGGAAACAGCCGGTTTTTGAAATGAAGGATGGTTCACAAAGAATGGGGAATCAACCCCTAGAGTTGTGAGTTTCATATGGGGCTGGCTCCTTTTTCTGGCGTTGGTGCCACGTGTTGGTTTTTTCGTTTTAGAGGCAAGCCAGAAGGAAACCCGAAGCCATTTTGGGCGGTCCAACTTTAAAAAATGACCCCCCCCTCATATGCGGCAAAACATGGGTATTTGCAGGAGGGTCCGTTCAATCAGCAGTTGTTTTGTGTCAGATGAGCTGGCACTCTCAATTTGCATTGGGAAGGGGTGGACATGAAAAACACCTGCATGATGCGTCAAGACCCCTTGGGGGTTGCGAACATTAGGGTCATTAGGGGTCGGGATGGGCGGAGGATCCAGACAACCCTCCACTAGGCACCAATTTGGAAAGGGAAACCCTCCGAATGCTCCGCACAGACACTTGTGTCAAATGGGTATCCAAGAAAAGCCCCTGTTAGAACCACGTGCAATATCAGTTTGCTGCCTCCCCGAAAGTTGTCACTTGTTGCCAATTTGGCTTGCTCCAAGTGAGTGTGATCCGTTGTTCACAATTGTCCGACGACCAACAACTTCAGTACGGCTTCTTTGTGTTTTTTCCTCTTTTTTCCCCGGTATGTTTCAGTATTCCTGGATCTTGTTTTGTGTAACTTGCCGTTTCAGTGCCTCGTTGAACCAAGACTCATGTGATGAGGCGCGCCGGAGTCCGCTGATGGGGCAATGTCCTTCTGCCCTACGCAACAATTTGATTGGGGCACCTATATTGGGAACGCCCTGATGTTTTTGCCCAGCCTTTTTTGGGGCAGGCAGGTAAGTTCACCGCCTGCACGCAGAGGAGGTCAATAGGGGCTCAAAGCCCCTTTTCACCCTATTCCGCCCTGCATGGCCTGCTCCGACAAAAAGAAACAGTCTTGGAGGGTTGCATTTCTGGACGGTCAGTCTCGCGGTCCATGCAAGAAGCCAAGGTCAAGACCAACTCACGGAATCAAGCCTGTGCATGTTTGCGGCAGGCCCAGCCTGTGATTCTCTCCACTTCAAGAGGGAGAGGAGCTCAAAATCGGGCTGGGAATATTTGTTCAGGAACCTGCTGGCAGTTCATGGATGAGTCGGCCGTCTTCGTCATTTGAATCTTGTCCTGTTCTAATGTGGATCGGCTTTCGTCAGGATCCTACAACATGAACCTCTTGCATGTTGTTAGGGGCAGGCGGGGGCCGAAACACCAGTTCATGCAAAGGGCATGCCCCTGATATGGTCTCAGTATGGTCAAACTCGAGAACCAACAGCAGAAAACAAGACAACACCCGCAAGCGGAGTGATTGTTGCATTCTGCCACTGCCAGCGATATCCAACCTAACGAGCAAATGTCCACAACAGCCACCTTGCCCGGCGTGTCGTTGATCCCCCATAGCACATGTCGCCCTTGGCTTGCCACGCACCTTTGGGAATAACAAGACTCAAAGCCTTCGTGGCTTGATTTTTCAGAAACTTGCAACCCCCCTGGAGCCAAGGAAAGGCTGTGGGCACATCTACAATGGCCTCGCTCAAATGCAGGGCTTTGTTAGCCATTCAATGTTTTTCCTTGCATTTTAAAATGCATGAGCAAGACATTCTACTTTGTAAACACTCGTGCTTGCAAACTCTGAGACACTGGCAAACTGTGAGCAATTGGGAAACTTCGCAAGCATTCCATCGGCATTCACGAGTTAGTTGTTCCCTAAACCATCTTGCGCGTGTTGAGACAACAACTTATTTGGAGGGTTCAAGGGCTTACCAAAGCCTTGAATCTACAGCTTGACATCTCGGGTTCGCGTGCACAAGTTGAGGCACGTCATGCTGCCCCGTCGAATTCTCTCCCCGCAGGAGTGAGATCTCTTGCCGAAATGAGTGAATTGGTGCCGAAAACTGACTTGTTTCCCGCAATACCAAGCCTGGGTTTAAAAACCTGAGCTTGGGTGCAACACTTTAGATTCTGGCTCGAGTCTTCCAGGCTTTGTGCTTCGAGCTTCTTTGGCAAATGCCAGGGTTGCAGCATTGCATCATGTCTGGCTTTCGAAGCACGCCTCGGGCCAGCATTCTCCTTTTGTCTCAGTTAGGCCTTGTGGCAGTGCCACCCTGCCAGCAATTCGCCTACGGCGTGCGGCGTGCGGCGAGCAACGCGTGGTGCCCAAGCATGCCGCCCGCCTCTGTAGATAGAATGTACATACAATGCACATGACGCCGCCGGACAAGCCCAGAGGTTCAGACATGGGATGCCAAGTCGCCTTATAGACAGCGAAACGACAGCTCCTTCAAGACTCCCAAAGGCATCCTGTCTGTTGCCCTGGGAATTCCAAGGCGCCTGAGATGCTAAGATGTATCGCAGAGGAATTACAAACGCTGCGGTGTTGACCGATCCTCGTGCCAAGGTCGTTGGCGGGCAGATTTATTCAGACAGCATATGGATATGTGTCCAAAAGGAGAGCCTCCACTAAAAATGGTTGTTTTCCTTTTGGTTTCAATTTACTTGAACCACCACAGAAAGAGTATCCTCAAAAGACAAACGCACCGCCCATATCAACCACCTCTTTGTTGAAGCTAAATCAGATGCGCTTGTGACTGAATGGTCATCTAAGAAGCCTCATGAACCAACCACGAGCTCTGGCATGATTGTGCGAGCCAGGCTAAGACCATATATAGATGCCTTGGTTGTTGCGTGGCCCAGTGATTTTGGGGGCCACATGGGCAGCCGATGGAAACCTCAAATGGATGCTCATGACATTTTTACCAGGGGCTTCCCCACAGGCCACATGAGGGTAACTCCTAGTGATTCGAAGATAGTGATCGGAGCTTGCTGGCTGTGATCACGGGAACGAGCGGCAGAACAACAAGGAGTTGCCAGCAATCTAGACTCTTGTGGATGAGTTGTGGCAGGTCTTCGGATTGCACGAAGTTTCATAGTGGCTTGAGAATGACGAACGACCAACACCCTGCTTGAAATCATCCGGAGATATGCTTATGGACCGAGCTGTATGGATGAAAGTTGTGGGATTTATGTTGGCATTTGTTTCATGATTTCCCAAAGGTACTACTCCTGTTCTTCGCGCTCTCCATTAGTGTCTTTGCAGAGACCAATGTTAGAAGCTGTATCGGGCCTGGGTGATACCTGACTACTTCACTAGGCCCTCACATTTCCTGCGATGTGTATGGGAATCCCTGCTTTCCAGTGGGCGGAACTATGTTCCATCCGCCTAGCTTCAGCAAGTTGCATTTGAAGTCCGAGGCAGACCCCAGTC